AACACCTAAAGGGTAAAATGTGGTTGGTATTAATCGGTACAAAACAATATGCACCTCTATCCATCACTTATCGAAGAGCAGGGGTAGGAACGGGGTGGTTTTTAGTTAGTAAGAGTCTGACACTCCCTCCCGCCTCACCCAGGCGGGAGGAAGTGTAAAAAAAAACCCATCACTTAAGAGAATGTTACGTAGTTTAACCTTGATCGCGTATTTTCGCAACAATAGGACCTTCGCGACTATCTCCTACACAGTCTGACGATAGATGAATAATTTAAGGCGTCGATCAGTAATTATTCAAATATTCATTACGCACACTATCTTCATAAAATATGCACTCTAGTCTGACAACATTGGCTACGGTTTGCCGAACAAAATATTAAGGGTTATTGACTTCTATATAATGCATTGAAGTCTCTCTTAATTTGTCTGATGTGAAAATAATGGGAGTTTTATATATTAAGAAATTAACGATTAGAGAGGGGTTAGTAGAAGGCGTGGATGGCGAGTATTATCGAGAATTCGAAGTAAGTGATATTGCTGAGAACTTCACTTGATATTTAGCTTATGTAAGGATTGCTTACCATGTGGTAATGGCAGAGAAGAATATAACGTATATAAATTTGTCACCGTCCCTACCTTCATTAATCAGAGACTGAGCAACAACGCTCTCTGATAAACCTGAACCTTTCGAATCACGGACCGATCTCCAGTTGTGTACGCAAACCGGCTGAAAATGACTTAACTTTTAGAATGTACAAATTGAGATTTCGACTTAGAAATGCTAGATAGACTTGGTATTCTAGTATACAGATTTTAAAACATTATGCAGGAACGGTGGTGACAACTTTGCACCTCTGCTTTAGGTACATTTTTATTATGTAAAGAAATTGTAAATGAAGGTTACATGCACTTATCGTTAAGGATTGTGCAAATAAATCCGTGCATGATAATAATAATTTGGATTAATTGGATAATAAGTCCACGTATCTGATTAATGCAGTTAATTTCTTCAATCAAGTTTATTAAAAAAAAAAACATGACGCACATGAATATGGTCCCATGTCGTGTCTGCATTTATATTACCTACAAATTCACATAGGTACATACCACACTCAGACCCCGCCTGGGCATCAATTGATGGATCATACAAAGAGCATGTTCCGTGCGGCGATTGAACCCGCAATATGTTGCACAGTAGCCACTAACCGTGTAGTCGAAATAGAATTAAAATACTATATTTTATGGTTAACGTAAAATTCGAAGGCTACATTTGTCAGACACGCGGAATTATTCAAACTAAGCGCAGCGTAGCTGTAGGCAGGGCGTACACTCAAAAAGAGGACTAACGACCTAATTAAAATCGCCGAGAGACGCTGGATGCAGGTCGGTTTAACCCGGGCTATCTGGAAGTCATTGGCAGAGGTCTATGTTCAGCAGTGGAGATCAGTGATAAGGGCTGCTCAGATGATAATGAAGATTATCTAATACTTGTCTATAGGAATTGTCTCTTCAATCTTGAAGTTATCATAAAACATTCATACAATAATCCCTAACAAATACTACAAGAGTTCGTCACGGTATTTATTGTACGAGGTGAACGTTACAGAGCGAGTTATCTCGACGATATCGTGTAAGGGGTTATAAACAATGAGTATAAACAGCTGATAGTGTTTGCTGCGCTAGCGGCTGGTGTACACTCGCGGCCTGATAACTTGTGACGTCATGTTACATGTTCGGATTGTTACTTTAGGGAATGACGTCATATTACATGTTCGTATTATTACAATAGGGAATTAAATGAAGAGGATTAAGGTGTGACATGATTTAATCTCTGAAGGATTAATCAGATGTCATTTTTTATGTTTTAAATAAGGGGATTCGGAATTTTAAAAAATTAAGTACTTATATTACAAGTTTACCAGATAATTGTAAAACCGAGCACATATGACCTAAGTGGAAATATAGAAATGAAAGCATCAATGTCGACTTTATCAAAAGTGGTTCAGTTCATGGTCCACGAATTAAAACAATGTAGTTACAATAGGTTGTTGCTAAAAAGCTGGACGTGACTGACTGAAAGTGTAATGCGGACAATAGCAACTGTTTATTTACGACATCGTTTCTATTTGTACAGAAATACCTATAAAATAATAGTTTATTATGTTAACTTAAATCACGGGCTATTCACGTAAATATACTAAAAAAAGCTCTACTAGTTTCGAACCACGAAGGGGTTCTTCCTCATGAGCAGCATGCGCGAAATCGCCACAACCGCGCACGCTGCTACTAACTAAAATCACGGGTTATTCACGAGAGTAACCCGTGATTTTAGTTAATTTAGTATGTATATTAAGTCTTTCTTGGTACCCTAATATTTCTACCAAATAAACACTGTCTTACAAAGTATATGTAGCAGCGGATACAGCTAATTAAGTATTCAATGTTTGTGTTCTATACAAGTTATTAATTATTGTGTAACTTCAACAGAATAATTGGTTTTAAATGCTAGGTGGAAGAAGGGTTCCGATGTTACAGCAACAATTGAGTACTTACAAACTAGTCAAACTTAATACTTTTTTCGAACTGTCAAACACGACAGTTTTCTGTGAATTTTGTCCGAGATTGTGTATTGTGACGTCACCTTTTTTTAGTGACAAACAGCATTTATTTTTGATTAGGGAAAGTATCCAATTGTATATACTTCTGCGAAAGGTCTAACTTTTTTTTTGTTAGCGTTAGACACGTCCCTCTGCTGGGCAAAAGCCTCTCTGAAGTCTCTCTGAAGAAGGATGAGCAAAACGTACTTTCTTTTTTTGGATACTTGCATATTTATATTGATAGGGATCATTTTGTATCATTTACTGACTGATACAATATAAAATCCATTAGTTGTGTTGATATAATCAATATGCTTGTCTTTTGAAATACATAAATCTTGCATTAATGTAAAAACATTATATTTGACAAAAGAAAGCGATTATTAGACATACGTACATATATAAGTACATAACTGACTTTATAATATAGATATACTTAATCGGATCGAAGAAATTTGAATTCTGAATTGAAGAAAAATCAATACATATATTAATTTCTTATTACAAAGAGGTGTTTTATAAGTAAACCATTTCTTTTCACGTCATACTGTTACAGTGTTACCTTCGACAATGCTTCAGTAATGAAATTACTTTTGTTATATAAATAGGTTTGTTAGACAATATTTTCCTGTCCACGTTCTTACAGTATTTTAAGGAAAATATGTATTTTAAAGGATAAACTAAACTTGGTATTTCCCTAAGTAAGCGTTGTTATTTTTTTTTATTTTGACCTACAAATACATTGACGGTATTAAAAAGTAATGGTTTACTTTTTAAAACTGTTAATATACGTTGCAATCTAGTCTATTTTAATGAGGTGGTCTTCATTAGAATAGACTAGATTGCAACGTATCGCGGGTTTGACTCCCGCACGGAACAACTGTTTGGTCGACATTGACAGTATAGTCGACAACACTGTATTGGAGACTCCGTTGCCATAGGAAAAAAAATCTCTTTGGTCCACAGGTTGTTGTTTCGGGTCTGTGTGTCATGTGTGTGTGATGCACCCACGACACAGGAGAAATTTCTAGTGAATGAATATTGTGTTAAAAAAAATATTTTGTAAAGCATAATAAAAATAGAAGAGGAATTCAACGTCGATACATTTCAATACATAATATCCTTAAAACAGCACCTAAGGGATTCTTTTTACCCAAGTTACCAAAGTCACAGAAAGAATTTTTAAAAAAGTTGTTAAAGAATTAAGATCTTAAACCAAGAATTCTAGACAGAAAATAATTCTTCCAAAAGTAAAATAATTTCACAATACTACAAAACAGGTCAGAAAGAATACAAACTACTTTATATCTTACTAGCGACCCGCCCCGGCTTCGCACGGGTGCAATATGCATGTATTATACATACAAACCTTCCTTAAGAATCACTCTATCTATTAAAAAAAACCGCATCAAAATCCGTTGCGTAGTTTTAAAGATCTAAGCATACATACGGACATACAGCGAAAGCGACTTTGTTTTATACTATGTATACTAAGGTTTAAAATTCATTTCCTAAGGTTTTCATTCCATACATAGGTACGGAAATGATAAGTAATAAGAAACCCGTGTTTCATACGATCTTTATAAATGAAATCAAGAAAGAGGTAAGTATTGGCTTTGCCATTTAATCAAATTGAGAAAATGTACTTCTATGTATTAAGCAGAGAATGTTATAAATCTAGATCGATACAGCGTCATTTTGCGAAGATGTCATAATATATATTAAAAAAAGTCATGGAAGGATACGCACATGAAACACTAGATGTAAATTTCTAGGCATTATTCGCATCGCACGTGCCACCCGAATAGAAATATGTTATCGAGACTTCCATGGTGTGATGTTTAGATAATGTTGAAGTTTGCTTTTTGCAATGGTTCACCAGTTATTTTTTGTTTTAAACATTTTATTTCTTTGTAAAACTATTGTATTAATAAGACAGAACCATTTTATTGCGGGACGAAAACTAAATAAATATCACGGTGTTAATGAGAATTATTGTAATGAAGTACTTACTTGTTCCTATAAGTTAATACATAATCATCTTTCTACGAACTTTCAATGTTCTCAATAACAATAATGCATATTGAATTATTTTAATGTTTCACGCACATAAAACGAATACAAACTTTGAGAATAGCAAGCAAAATTTTAAGAACGGCGAGCTAAATTTTAAGAACGGCGAGGTAACTATCAAAAGAGTATGCTGATGGCGAGGTAGGACTTATTGACTAAGTCGTTTTAGCACTGCATAAGTATCCGTTATTACATACTCCAGAAATATTCCTACACATATAAATACCAATATGGCGCGTCAATTATTGACCAATTGTCCTCTATTGAGCACTAGCCTTAATAATTATTAACGTTTTCATTAAAACAAGCTATCGTCGAGTAGTACGCACTGTGCGGCTTCGATCGGTTGTGACTTTTGTCGAACAAAAATATAAAAAAATTACAAGGTATGTCGTGTTTATAGTGTTCAATTTTGTTTGTTTATTTAAAGCGGTAGTTAATACGTTTTGGTTTTACGCAGTTGTTTAGTCTAGTGCAGATTTTTGAAGCTGTGTTTTGTTTTAAGTAGAAAAATAGAATTTGTGTATTGTTTCAGCTGCGTATGTATTGTGGTTATGGTCCAAGCGTCTTGTGTATAAAGATTCATTGTTTCTAAAAGGTAATTTTGATACAATTTTATTACATAACACTATTTATTTATCCTTTAAAGGCCGTCAGCAGAAGTGCACATTAAACACACACGCTCCAATACTATAATATTTTTTTTTCATAATTTTCCTGAACTAGGGATTGATTGAACCTTGAGATCTCGTGCGTGATTATTACATGACCAATGTATCTGACATTTTATTATTACTTCAGTGATTAAGCAGTGGGTATTGTTCAAATATATTTTCATTATAATAATAACAACTGTATCATACAACCGGTGCCGTACTACAACTCATAAAAATATTATGACAAAACTATAGAAGAAAAAATAATGTGTTAATGTGTATGTCAATGAATGAGAAAGCATTTAATTGACAGTAGGCACGCACACAGATACAATGATAATAACAAATTAAAAAAATAAATAAAAAACACAAATAGAAAAAAAAACAGAATTGTTATATTGTCTTATCTGCCTACCCCAATATAAAAGAGGCGTGATGATATGCTCATATGAGTACAATAGGGTAGACGACTAATTTTTATTTTAATGTCCGTCTGGTAGATTATTTAAAAACATTAGACACGTATTTTTTATTTTCTTATGGAAACGAATAGTTTCGAAGATATATTGATTTGAAATGTCGCGTGACGTCACTTCTCAGTACATTTTATACTAAGAAATGACGTTTTAGCCCCCACTCCTAAACTTTGATTCGTTTTATCTAAGTATTGTTTTATTATACAACAAAATAAAAAAATACGTGTCTAATATTTTTTTTAACCTAAGTTACGGACTAATTATATTTTTAATTTTCATACCCTGTCATCATCCCCATTCTATTTATATACCTACTAATCGAAAAATCTCCAGTCTTGGATACTGATAATAATTGAATTTCAACTCTATGGTTATAGGGATAAGTACGTATTTTCTTTTGCTGTCTAAAAGATGAATACAAACAGTAGTTATGATCAATGAATGGGAACTGCATTTATTAATTATTCAGTTTCCATTTCATTTGTCTTTAGAAAAGTAACTCTATAGCAATAGCGTAAAGTTTATTTTTTAATAATTGAGATAATAATATGCAGTTATATTAGAAGATTGTTTTCAAAAATCAACTTAATTCTCGAAAGTATAAAGTGGAAATTTGTTGAAACATATTGGCATGTCAAACGCATGTAATAAATACAAGGATGTATCATAAACTACTTCAGTATCATCTTCATTACTGCTGAAAGAAGGTCTCTTCTCACACAGAAAAGGTATAAGCATTAATCACCACGCTTGCTCAAGGCGATTGACAATTTGAAACTTAAAAATAACCAATATTACAGAGCCAATGTGACTTTTTTGGAGTTGTTTATATGTAGGTACTTTCTAAAACAAACTGACAACCGATAAAGGAAAACATCGTGAGGTCGGAAACCTGTGCCTTTAGCCAAACGCCACTTTGACGCATGTCTACAGAGAGAGTAGTAATCAAAATGTATGGGGATGACACTGACAAGTGTCAAAATTTACGTCAATTCCATATAATTTGGTTTTCTAATCTACATGTAGACAAGCGCTAAGTGGCATTTGGCTACAGCTGCTGGACTAATATTACATATTTTTAACGACTTAAAAAAAGGAGGTAGGTACTATGATCGGATGATTGTTTTTTTTGTCTTTGTTCGCCGATTACTCCGCCATTTGGAACCGATTTTCAAAATTCTTGTTTTTAAACTGTCAAACACCAAGCGGTCACCGGTGACCGCAGCCTATTGTTCTATAATTGTGTCTATAATGACGGTACTCGACGAGTTAATGGTAAGTTTGACATCGTCAATCCGGCTTGAGCAAGCGTGGTGATTAACACTCAAACCTTCTCTGTGTGAGAAGAGGTTTTTCGTCAGCAGTGGGCGTTTATAGGCTGTTGATGATGGTGATGTTAATGGTGAACATATTGTTTGAATATCAAACTCCAGGTGTATTGTTCCAGGTCTTGAATAATAAAAGATTGCGGTATGATGATAAAAGACTATTGAAATAGGTACTGATTGTAAGGCTTCCTCGTTGGCCGAGTGGTCGCAAGGGGTCTCGGGTTCGATTCCCGGGTCAGGCAAAGCGTTACTGGGTTTTTTTTAAATAAATCTCAGTGGTAGCACGGAATCTGGAATTGTGCCCGTTATATGGCAATAGGCTCACCTATTACATGGGACTCATAACATAAATAGTGAAAAGTGGGTGTTACATTGTATAGTGGCATTAAGTGCCGTAATGTACACCTTCGCCTACCACTTCCGGGATAAAAGGCGTGATGTTATGTTATGTGATTGTAAGGGTCAACGGATATGTGCGCACGGCGTCGTGTAGGGCGTGCGTGTGAGTGAATGTTCGATCGTAACGTAAGCCCTCTGTGATGTCGCGGAGAACCTAACGGGTAACCGGGGCTCCGACTCGACGTGCAGGAGAAGGAACGGGGTGGTTTTTAGTCAGTAAGAGTCTGACACTCCCTCCCGCCTCACCCAGGCGGGAGCAGTCATTCGATGATTTTCCCCCCTTAAAAAAAAGCCCTCTGTGACGTCAGGAACACTATTCTATAATAGAAGGCAATATGTTGTTTATATTTTATGAATGGAAATCTCTTGAGTTGTTATCTAAACACTCACTCAACATAACTGTTGGTTTAGTTCCTCTTATCAGTGTGTTTAACTTCTCTAATCAGGGTACAGTTTTTAATTTTACATAATTAGTGATAATGACTTCCTAGTCGTTAGTTATGTGGTGATAGTAATGAGTTTTGAATTAGGTTTGCTCGTTATACCCCTTATGACTGGCTCGTTGGCTGAGTGGTCTCGGGTTCGATTCTCGGGTCGGGCAAAGTATTACCGGGTTTTTAATAAATTCTCAGTAGTAGCACGGAGTCTGGAATTGTGCCCGATATATGGCAATAGGCTCACCCCCTATTACATGGGACTCACAACATAAATAGTGAAAAGTGGGAAGTGTAAAGTAAAAAAATATTACATTGTACAGTGGCATAATGTGCACCTCTGCCTATCCCTTCGTGGATAAAAGGTGTGATGTTATGATGTTATTACGTTATACCCTTCTGTTAACAAAAAACATTTTGACTAAAGAATCCATTGGTATAGACAGTTTTGTACTACACATAAAAAATTGAAATATTTAATTAATATTGAACAACAAACCGACCCGGCTAATTGTGTACCGCCTAAAAATTTTTTTCTCAACCTGCCCTGGACTACCACAAACATTTCAAGACCAAAATTAGACACATCGGTTCAGCCGTTCTCGAGTTTTTTTTTTTTTTTATGTAATAGTAGGCAAACGAGCAGACGGATCACCTGATGGTAAGCAATCAGCGCCGCCCATGGACACAACACCAGAAGAGTCACAGCTGCGTTGCCGGCCCTTTAAAAAGGAGTACGCTCTTCTCTTTCTAGCGAGAGAGTTCTAGCGAGACTCACGAACGGGAATTCATTTTTATTTATGTATAAATTGAAGACCAAGTTAAATAAAGTCCCCTGATGATGACATTACATTACATATCAATGTATTTCGGTATTGATAAACTATTGAGGAATGAGAAATTAATCCCGATGTCATAAAAGTATTTACAATGAGTGATATGGCGACCGGTTTGATAAAAATATTCGTAAAACTGTGTAGGTGTGTAATAATATGCAGTAAAACAAAACAAAATGATAAGAATGGCTTTTTCCTTGAATTTGGTGTAACATAGCAATACGCCTGTTATGTAGACCGGTTATACAATACGTCCGGTGCAATAAAGCGTGAAGATTGTCAGTATTTATTTTTAAGGTGCATCACTGGAAGCATTCACGGGTAATGTAACATTATAGATTCGACTTTGAGTATTGTATTACAATAATACCTCCCTTACTTACGAGAATTTGCGTGTAATATAACATATTGATTCGTAGCAAGATGTCAGACATTGCTGTTACAAGTTGTATTAAGATATTACACATTGTATCATTACAAGGTGCGCATTGTAATGCTCGATTCTCCTCCTTCACTGATGTAATGCTCAGACCTGTAACGTTACACTATACGCGAATGCTCCCGGTAAGGGAGCACCTTTAGATTTTAATAAAACCTTGCCCCACACTTGGATTTTCTGTCGTGGGTGCGTTTACAAACATACAAGTTCACATACACATGACACCCAGACCCGAAACAACAACCTGTGGATCACACAAAGAGTTGTTTCGTGCGGGAATCGAACCCGCGCGGTACGTTGCACGGCATGGGCACGGTTATGAATGCAATGCTACGGGTTTGATTCGAATCAAATAATTATATTAAGGGATTAAACAGTGAGATGAACGAATATTAACAGGCGTAAAGTCTGTATATCCTGAAGGGTATAACCTGGGTGTCTTCAAGGCCCGAGAGAATAGGTTGCTTATGGGTCGACGTGCTGCATCGTAGACCGCATCATCGCTTACCACCAGGCGAGATAGTGGTCAAACGTCAGTCCCATCTGATATAACATAACATCACGCCTTTTACTCCCATAGGGGTAGGCAGAGGTGCACATTATGCCACTGTACAATGTAACACCCATTTTTCACCATTTATGCTATGAGTCCCATGTAATAGGGGGTGAGCCTATTGCCATATACCAGGCACAATTCCAGACTCCGTACTAAGAATTTTTTAAAAACCCAATAATGGTTTGCCCGACCCGGGAATTGAACCCGAGACCCCTTGCCGGGCAGTCGCACTTGCGACCACTCGGCCAACGAGGCAGTCCCGTCTAATATATATAAAATATATATCTACGTAAGTAGTCGTATACTGGAAACTGTTTGCTCTATAATAAGCAACCATTATTAGAAGCTCGTAGCTACGTGTAAAATAACAAGGGAGCAAGGTTCAGGGCTGGGAAATGAGATAACCTAGTGAATCTAGTTAACTATTTCCTTCACTCGACCTTTAGGACGCGCTCAATGTCAGCCACTGTACCTAATATACATGTCAATTTACACTAAGAATTCTTCCCCACATAAGTGACACTTAGACTACACGGTTGTACCGATAAGGCAATTGTCCCATTGAGCAAAGTATTTTGAATGTTATGATTGCCCGGTTGGCGCGGTGGCTGGCCAATTGGATGCCGCGCAACGTGTAGTGGGTTCGATTCAGAAATTGTTGTTCCGTGTTTGGGTATCATGTGTATGTGAAACGGCAAGTTTATAAACGCACTCACGACAAAGGAGAAGATTTTACATATCATAACATAACATCACGCCTTTTATCCACGAAGGGGTAGGCAGAGGTGCACATTATGCCAATGTACAATGTACCACCCACTTTTCACTATTTATGTTATGAGTCCCATGTAATAGGGGGTGAGCCTATTAGCATATATCGGTCACAATTCCAGACTCCGTGCTACTACTGAGATTTTTTTACAAACCCAGTAATACTTTGCCCGACACGGGAATCGAACCCGAGATCTCTTGCCCGGCAGTCGCACTTGCGACCACTCGACCAATGAGGCAGAGAGAGTAGAGAAGATTTTAGTGTGGGGCTAAGTTTTATTTTAATATAAATCTTTTATTTAAAAACTACATTCAAAAAATCGACGTCAACCCCCTCATTTTTTGGAGTTGGTAAATTAATATACTAAAACCTAAGTGTAGTAAACACTTTTCTGAAATCGCGCACAAACATATACATAGATACAGGTCAAACTATGCTCCTTCTTTGAAGTCTAGTACCTAGTCTATTTCACCACCGTACCACCAGACGAACGGCGCCACTCTTATATGGTGGACATTCCACCCAATCGCGTTTCGCGTCAAGCTTCCTCATGCGAACCGCTAAGGAATGGAATTCCTTGCCAGAGTCTATGTTTCCCGTCAAATATGACTTGGGTGTCTTCAAGTCCCGGGTGAACAGGTTGCTCATAGGTAGGCGTGCTCCATCGTCGGCCGTTTCGCTTACCACCAGACGGGATGGTGGTCAAACGTCGACCTATTAAGTATAAAAGAGTAGTTTAAAAATATACTCGAACTCGAATAGATTAAACATATTATCATTAAAATTCTCTCTAAATTACATTTTTAAATACTACTTACAAAATAAAAAAAAAATATTTAAAAATATAAAAAATAGGAGCCGACCAGTAGCGGGAGCATGGTCCAAGCTACCGGTGGTTAGGGCTCCAGAGACAAACCTCCTCACGATACGTGCCGTTTCTAGGAGAACTGCCTTCAATAAAAGAATAATATTTCATTATAATTACCTCTATTATTAAACATAGTCGTTGCTTCTAACAGTGACGTACATATAGCACAGTAAGATAACCCGCAGTTATCTACTGACCATAAACTTGGTGACAACTTGATTGTAAACTTAAATTGAATACCCCAATACCGAATAAACTATAACAGAGTATACTCAGTACTATCAATTGTCGTAATTGTTATTGTTACATTGTGATTGTATGATTTTCTTTTATCTAATGGAATTACTGTTCATTTGCTAGGTGACCGTGTACATGAAATTATGTGTACGTATATATGTATGTATTTATGTATGTATGTAAATTACAAGTGTGAAAAAAGGTTACAGCGATTTTAGAGGTGTAATATATTATTTTCAGCCAGTAGCTTCAGCCGCATACCCATTCCCTGATATTAAAAATAAAGACTGCGTTTAAAAACTGTCTTCAAATAACCAAAAATCAATAACAGACAAAAACTAAAATGCAATAAATAACTATAATTTGTACTCATAGGTTACCTACCCACTGATAGACTAGAAGTCGGTGCCATAAGTTCTAAACAAAATTTTTCATTAAAAGTTAAATAATTTTGGAATGAACTAAGAAGAAACAAACTTTCGCATGTTTAATATTAGTAGGATAGTAGTCTGTATTGATGCAATTACAAACACTTTCGCATACGCATCACAAACAAACAAAAATTGGAACCACATACATCAGTTTTCTGTAAGGGGAATTGAACAACGGTACAATGCAACCAGTTGCCCAGCTAGTACATTTAACCAATCAACAATTTATTTATTTATTTAACTTTATGCAACAAGAGTACATAGGCGGGCTTAACCGTCTGCGGCTGACGTGTAGTCCCACAGACACCGCGAAATACAAAATCACGTGTTATACCGTCATTTTTCAAATACGAGCATCACTGCTGCGAGTACCTTACTGTATAGTGCTCGCTATACTTTAATTCTACAAAAATATTTGCTGTTGAAATGGTGTCTGGTATAATATACACCTCAGTTGAATTGTAACAATTTAACCACGTCAGTTGCAGAGGGTTAATGCCATGGGCATTCTTACTAGCCAACCTTCTTACTGATCTAAACTCATCTTAATCAGGATCAGACCCTGGCACAGGAATAACACTTGCAACTCAACACATAGGTTATTAGAACAAATCTATTGTTCGTACCCTTCGTACCTAATAGGGTTGGGTAGCTACTAAATGCCGGGTGTATTTTCCAACTCAAATTATGAACATTGACTAACAAAGTCATATCATTACAATTTCACAAATTAAATAGCCTGATAGCTACGAAATCTCCAACGAATGTATGAATTTGTAATTTGAGTATTAATCATGCTTGGCTTCCCACGGAATAGTAGATACAATGCTTATATAGACAAGAATGAGGTCGTTATGTAAAATGTTATTCATAATAGAACATCACCCTTTAATTCCTCAGAATTTCTGTTTGAGAACGTACCCACACTACGTTGTACAGCAGCACTTAGTCAGTGAACGTAAGCCTTCCTCAGGAATTACTGTATCCTAGGCTGTACTAAAATCCGTACCGTATGTTCGAATTTATGGAGTTCATATAGACAGACACGTGAGAGAGCCAGTCTTCAGCATGAATGAGCCAGCTTTACCGGAGTAACCACGGAAACCGACGTATTATAACGCTTGCGTTGTGTTTCGTCTTGTAAGTGAGGTTACTAGAGCTTCAGTAATCTCCCCTCTTCCAATCCCCAAAAAGTCAGCAACGCACTTGTAATTCTCATTCCTCTGTAATACGTCTGCTCGTGTGCCGATAAAAAAGGACTGCTTTTTAACATAACATAACATCACGTCTTTTACCCCCATAGGCAGAGGTGTACATTACGGCACTTAATGCGACTGTATAATGTAACATCCACAATTCGCTATTTATGTTATGACTCCCATGTAATAGGGGTGAGCCTATTGACATAACACGGTACTTACTCTTGAAATCAATCTCAATGTCAATGCAATTACAATTCAATAAAATGTCAATAATTATTCCATGTCAAAACTATACAACCCTTATCGTAGCTGTTAAAATAGCATTCAGGGTACGGAATATAAAGCCAAACTCAATACCGTTTAGTTGATTCAATATCCATGCAATACGGATGCAATGGGCGCTAGTGTTGCAACTCAAAAGTACGTTAGTTTACACTGTCGATTGATCGGAATTGGATTCAAGAGGAAGCGTCCAGGGCACAATTCTAGACTCCCTGCTACTATAATTATGTATAAACTGTTTGCAGATGTCAAATGAAGCGATAGCTATAGGCGAGGCGGTGTTACTGAAACAGGCGCGCGACAAGTTTGCAGCTACATTTGGTCGGCAGCCGACCGCTGCAGCCTGTGCACCCGGCCGCGTCAACCTTATTGGTGAACATATAGACTATTGTGAAGGATTCGTGCTGCCAGTTGTAAGTATTACCTATATTTATACTTATATATGTACACATATATAAAGACTGCCGCCTTGGTCGCAAAGTGCGACTGCCGGGCAAGGGGTTCGGGTTCGATTCCCGGGTCGGGCTAAGTATTACTGGTTATTTTCAAAAATTTTAGGAGTAGCACGGAGTTTGGAATTGTGCCCGGTATATAGCAATAGGCTCACCTCGTATTACTTACAACAGAAAGAAGAAGATGGCTAGGGAGCCTCTAGATAGCTAGGTACAACAATTCCAAACATCGTGCTAAAATTTTCAGGCAACTTAACGCATTAGTACTTTAGGTACTTAACCTGGACATCGAACTCTAGACGAGACCTTTTGGTCATATACCTACTAGCAGTTTGCGACCAGCAAATGCTTTGTTGGTTGCAAAAGGTAATATATCTATCATTGATTAATTAATTAATACGTGAAAACAGAATATACAGTCGTGGCACGAGCGGCAAATATTCTTAAACCCGTTTAATCTTTATAAATGATGCTTGACATTAACCCTTAATTATCATTTGTAATAATGACCTGCAAACAAAGGGACTGAACCTTAATATTGTCTTCCATTCCAGGAGTAAAGGCCGTTACAGACCTAGTTATAATATATCGGACTGTATAAAATATTATTTTATATATGTTTGGGATCTAGACTATACTATATATTTTCGGTCTGCGATCGCGTCTATTTAAATATAATAAAATATATTTCGTGGATATTCTTTGGTGACGTCACAGAAAATGATACAGCTGTGTGTCGTCACTCAAAAATTTGTATTGACAGTATGTGATAATATACCTTGCTATAATATATATATTATTAGCGACTCGTTCCGACTTCGCACAGGTGCAATATGCTTGTATTATACATAAACTCAAACTCAAACTCAAAAGCATTTATTTCAATTAAACCATAATTTGGAACTTTTGAAACGTCAACAAATATGAAATATATAATAGTCTGTCAGTCTATCCGTCAGTGAAGCTAGGCGCTCGTTCCAAAATGTCGATTCGAGTGGAGAAGAACGAGCAAGAAACTCCATTCGTTAAATATACATACATATATATATACCTTCCATATATACCTTCCTCAAAAATCACTCTATCTATAAAAAACACCGCATCAAAATCCGTTGCGTAGTTTTAAAGATTTAAGCATACATAGGGACTCAGAGTCGCGGAGAACCTAACGGGTTACCGGGGCTCCGGCTCGACGCGCAGGAGAAGGAACGAGATGGTTTTAAGTCAATAAGAGTCAAACTCAAACTCAAACTCAAACTCAAAAGCATTTATTTCAATTAAACCATAATTTGGTACTTTTGAAACGTCAACAAATATGAGATATATAATAGTCTGTCAGTCTTTCCGTCAGTGAAGCTAGGCGCTCGTTCCAAAATGTCGATTCGAGTGGAGAAGAACGAGCAAGAAACTCCATTCGTTACTCTTTTAAAAAAGTCTGTTTTACATTGCTCTGATACATATTCCAATATTGTACACACATGTGAGAATAATGTAAAGACATACCTGAAGCAACATACAAATAACAGAACATACTAAAATAGAAAAAAAAAAAACAAAACCAAGAGAAAACAAATATCTTAAGTCTGACATGGTCCTCACATATGTATACTGACAATCCATATAAAATAGTGCTTCTATACAAGAAAAAAATAAAAAATATACTCTTGTTTAAATAAAGAAAGAAATGCTCGATGCCACAAGAAAAATAGATTGCCTTCATCGGAATCAAAGTGTTAAATTACCTATTATCGTAATCTGAACTAGGTACTGACTACATTTGAGTATTGTCCAGTGGAGCCGAACCAACACGCTGCCAAGCATTCCTATCCTCAAGATAATCAATCACCCTGTAGTACGCTTGTTTACATAATTCGCGCTTAATGTAAAGAGTCTGACACTCCCTCCCGCCTCACCCAGGCGGGAGCAGTAATTCGATCAATTTCCCCCCTTAAAAAATGCATACATAGGAACAGACAGACGGCGGATAGCGACTTTGTTTTATACTATGTAGTGATACCTATACTCGGAATTTTAATTAGATTCCAGATTTGACAATTTCAGTGTTGCAACGTTTGACAAGTACTAAATAGTGACGTTGCGAAATTATTCGATATGGAAATGGAATATTTCTGGATCGATTCTTCTCGTTTATAATTTTACTCTCGTAAACTAAGTATATCAGGAAATTAAATATTTCTGAACCGATAATTTAGTTTTGACGATAAATTAACGATCTGAAACTTTTCTTTTATAATTGTGTGTGAAATAAATAAAAAAATGTAATCATGAAGGAACATGACAAATAAAACAGATATATGTATTATAGTAATAATTTATTTTATAAATTGTCGCCGTCATCGCTATCGCTATCCTGTCACTTTCTGTAACATTTATTATAAAACACACACACTGATTGTTTATCGATTTTTGTGTTCATCACTGCACTATTATTATGTGGTATCATTATTTCACAAAATGACAGTAGCTCAAATCTGGAATCTAATTAAAATTCTGACTATAAGTCTATGATCGCCTTAATTCCTTCAAAAAAGATGATTGAACTAAGAATAGTTTCATAGAAATGTTGAAAGGTTGTTTGTAAGCCGTCGACCCTTACACCCTGTGTGCTAATTATAGAACTACCCTAATTGACCGGATACGGAGAGGCCTAATTCGGGCCAACAGTGTAATATTACATTAGGCACATGAGTCCAAAACTAGAATATTTTTGTATTGTTTAAATAATTATGTACCAAAAATAAGACGAAAAGGCAGTGTATTTATCCTATATCCAAATTAGGTAAAATTTCAGATTATCACTGAGAATGTTTGATGATTGAAGAAGGGAAAACTCAAACTCAAACTGAATGTAAAACCTTCTCTTCAGAGAAAAAAAACGGCATTTTAAAAATAAGGCATTAAGGCTTAGAAAAGAAATAATAAACATAATTGTTTTCGCTACGTAACTATATGATCATCATTTTACTGAAAGAAATTACTGAAAAATTGACATAAAATAACAAAACATGTAGGTAACCACAATAATTTCAGGCAACAAGAAAGTTTTGGAGTTTACTCGATTATTTTATAATCGAATAGATGTCTATCGATATTGATTATGTAATAATACCGTCTACGCAGTCCGTAATTACTTATTTCAAAATCAACATTCGGTTGCACTGTAAAAACCAGAGTTAAACAACTTAAACGTCGTTTAAATTGGACTACATAATCTGCGAGAATCCATAATGACTAAAATTAAACGTCGATTAACAATGACGTGGTTACAGTTGATAAAGTTAGTAATTATTCCTTTTTTTCAAAATACTTCCAAACTTTTTACGTAAGACCAATACAATAAATTCTTAGAATTACACGTCTTTTAATAAATTTGTGTACGTTTTTCATTATTCCAACTGCTTTACACGAAATACAAAGATAAACTAAGCCTTGTTTACCAAAACATCTAAAACGTCTTGACAACTTTGTCGCCGACCTTCAGACGAGCGGAAGCTTAAAATGCAAAGCTGTTGTTGAGTCCCTTATTAAACTCTCGTTAACGTAAAACGTGGTTTAGTTAAAATGTCGTGCAACCCACTGTACCTACATATTTGTAGAATCAAGAAAATTTTGTTCTAATGCTGATAAATCACCAATTAAATAATTGAAGCCAGTTGTCAAGGAGACTCAGATGTTTTACGTTACATAAAATAATCTTGAATGAAGATGCTATCGCTACATAATCAGATCTTGACATAATTGGTTCAAATAAAGCAGGTCAGATTGCTTGATATATATTAATCAATTGATTAATGTTTCCGTTTTTATTAAATTTAAAGAAGATGATGATTATTATACTAATTTACTCATAAACTTTGACCCAACAGAACTAAACTATTTCTCCAATATGGTGCAGGGATTTAAGTATTTTCAGCTTACATCAACATCATCAAGGCTATTTCTCACACGGAGAAGGTTTGAGAAGGCTTGTTCAATGCGGGTTCTCAATATCAAACTTATAAATTAGAAATTATAAGCAGCACGTTTCATCACGATGTTTTCTTTCACCGTTTGTTAGTGGTGTCTTTTAATCTTAGAAAGTACATATAACTCGGAAACGTCACATTGGTACTTGCCGTTGGTAGGTTTTGAACTCGCACACTCATGCTGCTCACATGCTTTTTTGACAATAGATGCAGATTGCACTGCCTCATTGTCCGAGTGGTCGCAAGTGCGACTGCCGGGCTAGGGGTCTCGGGTTCGATTCCCGGGTCGGGCAAAGTATTACTGGGTTTTTAAAAATTCCCAGTAGCAGCACGGAGTCTGGAATTGTGCCCGGTATAAGGCAATAGGCTCACCCCCTATTACATGGGACTCATAACATAAATAGTGAAAAGTGGGTGTTACGTTGTACAGTGGCATAATGTACACCTCTGCCTATCCCTTCGGGGATAAAAGGCGTGATGTTATGTTATGCAGATTGCAATTTTTGGTAAATTAATTGATGATTACATTTTTTCCTCCACCAGGCCTTACCGTTCGTGACTCTCATAGTGGGTGGTCTGAATAACACGGGGGAATGTCGACTGGTGTCAGTACTTGGTACCGGAGAGGAGGTGACCACCAGCTTTCAAGCACCAACAGCATCAGCGCCCTTGAAGCCAGGACCACCAGCTTGGGCGAACTATGTTAAAGGCGTTGTGGCTAATTTTCCAGGTATGTATGTATGTATGTGTAGCGTTATTAGGGCTTAAAAATGGTACCAGAGAGTGTTCACGTTCAAATTTAAAAATCGAAGCCCTGCCCACGCCTCGCTCCAGCGGGCCCCGCGCTCACGCCAACAATCACAGCCGAAACCTATAGCGAGTGAGTGTGTATTTAAAGCGCCACGCGTTCCCGCCAATTTTTTCTGTTTCTCAAATTCATTTTGAACAACATCCACTGGGGATATTAAGACGTCCTAACTGTCCTAAAGTCAAAATGGTTACATTGAGGGAAAGAAACAGAGCTATACAAGTCGTCTATCGAGATCTCGTTCCCTCAGCAGAACCACTCTGGCTTTAAGGCGTCATGTCATTGCCACCCTGTGCAATACACGCTCACTCGCTCGAGCGAGGCAAGGGCGCGGCTTCGATTTTTAAATTTTACCGCGAACACACCACGTTACCACCATTTTTGTTTTCGCGCTTCGTTCATAACTTCAAATTACAAAAGAGGTTTTTAACAAAGAGTTGCCTATAGTGTGTTTTATCTCTTTTTTATTCTTTATTAAAATTCGTCAATCACTGTAACTTTAATTATTGCTCGCTTAACTGAATCATAAGTACCTAATAATAAGTTGCAAATAAGTATTATTTTTATTCAGATTTCTTTTTGTAAGTTAATACCTCGTTACAATAGAATAATCGTAAGCATGAGTGCCGAGCAAGAGGATTCGAGTTCAGGTTTTTTTAGTTTTTCAAATATTGCCAGTATACATTTTGAAATTGTTCTCGATTTGTGGACTCGAGTCTCACAATATAGCTAGCGAAAAACAAAACTTAATCATTTGAAATTAGAACCTGTGCCTACCACATCAGGGTATAAAATGTGATGCTACAATAAGTAATAAATGAATTATTATGTTTCGGCTTACCCACGTAATAATTTGACGAGGAACTCGACTAGTTTCAAGCCATGCTAGAGGCTCATATTTATGAGCAGCATTTCGCGCTGCTACATAATAATTTATTTAGTATGTCTTAGTTACAATACAAACAAAGTAATAAATGTGTAAAAGGTCTTTGACTAGACCCTAGGGCACAATGTCCGTACATATCTGAGTACGAGAGACTTAAGCTCACATAAGCAACAAAAGCTCAGTTCAGTGATCCAGTATGAAAAATTATCTCATAATTTGTTTTGTCACTCAGAGATTACAATATAATGAGATTATTCCGAAGACTTGTCTAGAATAGGGTGGGCTAAGTTATGTATAATTTATATAAGAATGCCATAGCGATTAATGGTCGAAAAGAATAACCTAATATCGGTGGGATCTATTTTTGACAGATACTCCATACAACACACGCATACAGCACATAACAATCACGCCTTTTATACCAGAAGGGGTAGGTAGAGGTGCACATTTACGGCACTTAATGCCACTGTACAATGTAACACCAACTTTTCACTATTTCTGTTATGAGTCCCATGTAATAGGGGGTGATCGTATTGCCATATACCGGGCACATTTCCAGACTCCGTGTTACTATCCAAATTTTTTTTTAAATCCCAATCATACTTTGTCCGACCCGGAATGCGAACCTGAGACCCCTTGCCCGGCAGTTGTACTTGCGACCACTCGGCCAACGAGGCAGCCACTATACAACGAATGTTGCAAATAAGTTTCTGTAAATACTGTAACAATGTAAGATATTTCAATTTATGCTGCAACAATTTTCAAGATCACGGTTACAGAACCATTACAGGTGTAAGGTTAAAGGTTTACAGAAACCTTGCATCAGAAAACGTAATTGTAAAATGAGTAAATCAAGCTTCGTTTCTAGTTTCTATTTTTCTTAATAGCAAAAAGTACTTACGAACGCAATATAGTTTTAATGGCCTCGTTCGTCAAAAAGTAACAAGTAATTACTCCTGCCATGGACGAGGTGAGAGGGTATGTCAGACTCTTACTGACTATAAACCACCTAGCTCAGTGGTTCCCACTCTTCCTTCGAACCGAGAGTCGCGGTATCATATTTTCTGCTGGGACCTACCATTTATTCGCACTTGATCTCATCATCATTTCATCAACAGCCTATAAATGCCCACTGCTGAGCAAATCCATGGACCTTGCTCAATGCGGGTTGGCGATTACAAACTTATAATTAGAAATTATAAGCCCAGGTTTCCTCACGATGTTTTCCTTCACCGTTTATCAGTGGTGTCTGAATAATCTTAGAAAGTACATATAACTCGGAAAAAGTCACATTGGTACTTGCCGTTGGTAGGTTTCGAACCCGCACCCTCATGCATGAGAAGCGGGCGTCTTAAACTCCCGGGCCACCACGACACTTGATCTATTTTGTTAATTTATCAATTTGTTTGTCATATCAGGTGGAGTCGGAGGTTTTGATGCAGTCATCGTGTCTGACGTGCCGATGGGAGCCGGTCTCTCCAGCAGTGCTGCCATCGAAGTAGCAACCTTCACACTCCTTGAGGGGCTCACTGGCAGGAGTGTTGAGTAAGTGAAAAATAAATATTTCTGGATAGATATTCCGTTGTTGTGTTTTAGGCTATGTATGATTTAGACCAGAGGTTCCCAAACTTATTTCTTCTACCGCCCACTTTGAAAATCAATTATTTTGATTACTTGATCTCATTATCATTTCATATATTGCCTTCCCGTAATTTTCGCTTGATGCGTGACGCTCAGAGTGTCAGTGCCAGTTGGATCGTGAGGACGAACTTTACCTTACGTTCCCCATCTCCTCCTTAGCTGAAGAGCCGAAAGAAGTCTGTTTCAAATACATACACCTAGTTTTCTAGTTCAATGATTCCGTATCAGTACCGCATATTGGCATTATCGTCATTGTCACCAGTAACTCTTAAAAGTTCAATACAAGGGAGGTTCCTCTTCCCTTCACGCATGGGTCAAAGACCTCGGTGTAAAAGGTTCAGGGATAACAGTGACCGCTGATCCCGGTTCTTGTCAAATGTGTCTAAGTATTATTTAAATCTACTCTACCGTCTCTTCACGGCTTAACGCCTACGCTAAATACAATTATAATTATTACAATCTTTATTCTTTACTACAGTAATATACAGACAAAGGAAATAAAGGCTTAAAATGTTGATGAACCAGGTATTGTATCTAATTAATTCTTACCGAGTTCCCTGAACAAGAGTTCAACGAACTCTGCTACAGAGAGGATTACACCATTATAATAATTTTATTAAACTGGACTTGACACCCAACAACAATCTACTCGACATAATTAAATAAAAACACTTGATTGATCGATTACCCCCAATTCCTAAATATCTGCTTGAGTACGGTTCATTAAAACTTTGTTTTAAATCCCTAAGGACTTACCTAATAAAGGTAGGTACACTTAATTAGTGTACACCCACTTTTCATCGAACATAATTCGGCTTAGTGTTTATTAACTCAAATTACTACCAATTCCAACGAATTGATAATAATTTATTATTTTTTTATTTTAACACTTTTCCTACAATTATATAATGGCGGGTTTAATACCGAGTGGCATTCTCTACCAGCCAACCAGTGATGCATTGAAGTGTTATAGTAGTAGTAGTTAAGTTTAACATGCTTCGACACGAATGGCCTGGCTTGACCGGTGTGAAACCACGGCCGAGCAGAAAACCGACGTGAAACAACGCTTGTGTTGTGTTTCGATGTGTGAGTGAGGTTACTGGAGGCCCAGTTTTTGCAATGGTTCATCATCACTTTTGATCTCGTTCTAAAGCTATTGCCAAGACAGAACCATTTTACTTTGATGTAGATTTCATGGTGTATAAATAATTATTCCAGTATACTACATACCAATACTACATAAGAATTACAATTTCATATTTATGATAAACACATTTTATGATACATATTGTTCTTTAAAGGCTAAGGAAAAAGAGAAGAGCGCATTAAATACAACACCCTGTTTCTGCTATATATGTTATGACTTCCTCAGTCCCTCGTAATAAAACCTTTTTTCATCTAGCAAACCCGGCGTACTCCGTTTCGCCACCCAGATGGCTTCGTTTTATATAACACTAGCTTTTACCCGCGGCTTCGCTTGCGTCTCAAAAAGATATAAAGTAGCCTTTGTGACATATACCAATACATACAGCGCCATCTATACCAATACTTTTGTTTTTCCTCGGGAATATCAAATTTTTCCGGGTTAAAAAGTACCCTATTATTTAATCCGGAGTTCTAACTTTACGTCTGCAAAAATTCAAAGCAATCGGTTTAGTAGTTACGGCGTGAAAGTGGAACAAACAAACAAACAAACAAACTCACTTTCCGATTTATAATATTAGTAAGGATTTGTTTTGGTGATTAAAGCTGAAGAAAATTTTTTTCCTGAATTGTCTTTGCTATAAACCTCACGGAGCCCAAGATCTTTCCAATGAATGCAAAACCGTGGAAATCGGTTCGTGCGTTCAGGAGTTATACCGTCAGGAAGGAAAACTCGACTTTTATACAGTAGATAAACGAAAACCTATGTACGTAGGTACTTAAAATTTTATTCAACCCTCCTTGGATTGGATAAACCCAAGGTTGAAAGACCTCATAATGAGTGGAATTCGCCAGAGTCTGTGTATTGTATCTGTAAGGTCCTAGTGAGTAGGTTCCTTATAGGCATGGGTAGGCATACTCATCGCTTACTACGAGGCGAGAATAGGCCACACATTGTGAATAAAAAAGAAAAGGTATTATACCCTTCAGGTTCAGAACCTATCGAGGTTCATTCCTCTCAAAGTTCAACCACATTAATGAACTGTTAAAACAAAACATGTGATAATGTCAAAGAAACTCTTTTGAAGATACACCCCAATGGTTTTATAAAGCCGACCAACAATTAAACACTTGGTATTTTGATAAATACAATACAATAATTACTTGTGTCGTGTATGCTCTTTGTACGTATAATTATAAGTGTGAAAATACGTGAATAAAGACTTTTCGAAATTCTCTGTGACACCAGACCGTCTAGGAATGTGCTTGATGAGTGTCAATAGTCTCGTTCCCTTAGGTGTCCAATACACCACTTATAACTGGCATAAAATCGGCATCAGTTGCACTATTTTACATGCAACTATATGAAAATCTCAAAAATATTATAAATAGCAGAGGTGCATTAGACATTACGCCACTTAATCCCACTGTACAATGTATCACCCACTTTTCACTATTTATGTTATGAGTTCCATGTAATAGGGGGTGATAGGTAATGTGAAAACTGCTATTGAACTGCAGGTCAAAAGTGTAGTCCAATTGCAGTTTTATTGCAGTCGTGTTAACTGCGTTCAAATTGCACCCGAACTGCAATTTGCAGTTAAAACGCGGTCCGTCTGTCTAGAGCCTTAGTTGTAACGTTTTTGTGTTTACAAATACATCCACGATACTAAAGAAAACCTTAAAGTGAAGCAGTGTTAATTAAATACCAATTACAAAGCGATATTCTTAATAACCTCTTCTTTTCCAGTCTGGTGGAGAAGGCGAAACTGTGTCAGAAGGCAGAACATGAGTTCCCCGGCATGCCATGTGGCATTATGGACCAGTACATCGTGACCATGGGCAAGAAGGACCACGCCTTACTCATTGATTGCAGGTCAGTGCACATATCATAAAAAAACAGTCATAAAGACCTTTTTTTTTGAAGTCGTTTGACAAAACATTGAATTTAGACAGTAGCCACGCACACAGATACAGAAATATTACAAAATTAAAAAATAAGAAAAGAAGAAATATATACACATATTTATTTAGATATAGAAAAAAAAACACAAAGAAACGACAGAGTATTACAATACAGTGACAATACAATAATAAAAAATCAATAAAAAGAGTTCGTGAAATGGTGATGTAATACTGCCGCGTTTCATCTTGTAAGTGAGAATTCCGGCTACCCAACGGCTGCTTGATCCTGCCATTATTTTTCTGGATCCCTCTTCTATGGAAAAGATGGTACAAATAAACAGATTCTTACTGTGAACAGCTTTTTAAAAGAGTGAGAAAGAAGGAGAGATCATGGTTTACAAGGCACTTGTTATAATGTTTTTAATTGGTATGTGGTATGTAGTGTGGGAGAGCCATCCTTCACGGATGGGCCGGCTCGACCGGAGTGATACCACGGCCTCAAAGAAAACCGACGTGAAATAATATTTGCTTTGTGTTTCGTCATGTGAGTGAGATTATCGGAAGCCCAATTACCCCCCCTTCTCGTTCTCCCTTATCCCTGAATCCCCAACAATCGTCAAATTCCTAATCCCAAAAGACCGATAACGCCTCTGGTATTCCAGGTGTCCATGGGCGATGCCGATTGCTTACCATCAGGTGATCCGTCTGCTCGTTTACCGGCTAGTACTATAAAAAAATGGTGAAGATTGATTAGAGTGAATCAACGTTATTTAACTAAACATTAATAAGGAATTTTAACTGTACGCTTCAGGGTCTAGTGTCTAAGACTGGACCCGGTAGCTATATCTAACCACTTGCACTGGTAATGCTAGTTTCAAAATAGTTTTGTTTCTGTATATCAATCGCATTTAAATTTATAATTTTACTTTTTCAATGTGTGATAACCGACTGTATTCGTAGATAACGTGCCATTACCTGAATAATAATAGTGTCATAGAGTCTCAATAACACAAACTTACTAGACACGTTCCAAAATACTCACAATCATAATGTAATAAAGTTTGAATCTTTTGGGTTCCAATCTTGATTGGATGAACCAACAAAACAGGAGGAAACAGGAGGCAGTCGGATGCAAAGTTAAAAAAGAAAATCACTGGCTTGTAATAAAATAAAATTCTTAACCCTAAAAGACCGGCGACCCACTCATTACCCCTCTGGTGTAAAGAGTGCACCCAGCACCCATACTTTTTACTACACTCCCATTTTACTACATACAACACTACATGTGTCAATGAGCGGTATTGTTTGCTTACCATCAGGTAATACGTCTGCCTGTTTTCCGGCCTGCTCCATAAAAATATCTACCTAAAATCTTCCTCTGAACAATGGTTCTTTTCAACAATGGCGGAAGTTATAATAATATTACAATTATAATTTCCATAAATACGTCAGTGATAATAAACTCTTCATGGAGTACATAATATATGCGAAATTAATCCAAGGGATAATCAACGCGGGTTGAGTAAACCTTTCCACACGCGGTCTTGCAAAATAAGGTTAACGACACATGATATAAAAAAGAAAAAAAAATTGTTAAACAATACGACGATCGCCGTCCGCCTTATGATTGGTTGTGAGAATAATCTCGACCAATGACGCGCGAGAATGCTATCAAGATCACTTTCAAAGTTCGAATTGACAGTTACTAGCCTAGCAGATTCGACCAAAATTAGAAAAAAAGGCAGGTTTGTTACCTTTTATATGAAATTCTTTGTGCACACTTTACCTCTCGTTTAGACAATAAAAAACTTAATGTATTGTTATATTTTTCTTCACTTTAATTTACAATCTGCGTCACTCTTACATAATTGAAATGCTTTTAGTATCCAAGTCCTTTGTTGTCCTCAATGACGCTAGAGGCAGAACTTTCGATACCATGGGAACACCCTTGCAATGACGCACTTGTGAACTATCCTTTAGTCGTGTATACGGGTCATTTCCGTATACATAACTAAGAGTTAACAAAGCATTTGTATTAAGTAAATCAGAGAGACTTGTGATAAGTTAAAATTGTGCTGTTCGTCAGTCAATCTGATAATATAAGTATAGTAATGGCATTTTAATAATATAAAGTTAATAGGTAGTTTTTTACTACTTTTCTCTGTACTATGAATCCAATTGGCACCGGGTCAAAACATCTTGTCATATATTAAAAACTAGCTTTTACCCGCGGCTTCGCTCGCGTCACAAAAGGATAAAAAGTAGCCTATGTGACATATACCAATACACACAGCGCCATCTATAGTAATACTTTTGTTTCCCCTCGGGAATATAAAATTTTTCCGGTATAAAAAGTTCCCTATTATTTAATCCAGACTTCTATCTTTACGTCTGCAAAAATTCAAAGCAATCGGTTTAGTAGTTATGGCGTGAAAGCGGAACAAACAAACAATCAAACAAACTCACTTTCCGATTTATAATATTAGTAAGGATAATTGAATAAATCAATTAAAAATATATTCGTAATAAGTCTGTCGCTACCTTAAATTTCTGTTTTACTTCCTCATAAGTTCCGAGAATGCGAAATAACTGCGCCTCAAAATGTAATATGTTAATTGAGGCCATTAATTTTAAGCACGATGTATTTAGATGTCATACACCATGTTTATATGACGTCTTATAAATGTACAACGTAACATCATAACATCACGCCTTTTATCCCCGAAGGGGTAGGCAGAGGTGCACATTGTGTCACTTTCCACTATTTATGCTATGACTTCCATGTAATAGGGGGTGAGCCTATTGCTTTATACCGGGCACAATTCCAAACTCCGTGCTACTGAGAATTTCTAAAAAACCCAGTAATACTTTGCCCAACGACGACTTGGCCAACGAGGCAGTCTAAATGTACAACGGTTTTAATATATTTTGGGACTTTGAGATGGAAACTAGATGAAAAGTAGTTATGATATACATCTTTTGTAACAGTGTTTAAGTCTACTGCCTAATGCCAGATACGATACAAGACTCAAATGCTATGAATTTTGGCAATCTATAAATAAACCATATAATTTTTGTCACACTAAGAAATTGCACATAGAACCTCCTTTAGCAATTATTCGGACCACTCAATAAACGATTTACTATTTTTTTTTTTTAATAAAAACGTTGCCCCACACTAGGATTTTCTCCTGTGTCGTGGATGCGTTTACAAACATACAAGTTCACATACACAATGACACCCAGACCCGGAACAACAATTTGTGGATCACACAAAGAGTTGTTCCGTGCGGGAATCGAACCCGCGACACGTTGCACGGCAGCTGGTTGCCCAGCCACCGCACCAACCGTGCAGTCATGCAGTCGTGCAGCCACTATAACAACAAAAACGAAATATAATAAACAAAAATCTTGTTCGTCATCAGGTCACTAGAATCGCAGCAGATTCCAATGCAACTGGGTGATTTAGTGGTTCTAGTCACCAACTCCAACGTGAAGCATCAGCTGACTGGCAGCGAATACCCGACGAGGAGAGCGCAGTGCCAGGAGGCAGCTGACAGACTGAAACTGCCGTCACTCAGGGGGGCCAAGATTGAGGATCTTGAGAGTAAGTAATCTTGAGAGTAAGCTACACACCAAGCCATGCTTCGGCACGAATGGGCCAGCTCGACCGGAGTGATACCACGGCCTCACAGAAAACTGACGTAAAAAATACTTAGATTAATAGAAAGGTTACCGGAGGTCCAGACCCCGAATTCCGAGCAATCCTTAAATTCCTAATCCCCAAAAGGCCGCTAACGCCTGTGGTGTTCCGGGTTTCTTTGGGCGTCGCCGATTGCTTACCATCAGGCGATCCGTCTGCTCGTTTACTATTTTTTTATGGAATAGGCGGCAAACGAGCTTACGTATCACCTGATGGTAAGCGATCAGCGCCACCCATGGACGCCCGGTATACCAGAGGAGTCAGAAAAATAATACATAAACGTAATCCTTTAAAAAATCTATTCAGAGAAGGTTGGTTGAACTTGCCACTATTGAGACGATTCGGGGAACGTGATTCATTTTCATCATATGAGGTTATAAAGCCCATTTAATTTAGGCCTTAATAGTGAGTATCATCAGTATTAGAAAATGGGTTTTCAACGGAATGAGATCAATTATTTCAGGCTCTGTACTCATTTTGTTGAACCTAGGAAAGGTAGTTAGACCGTGTGTTTAGGTTCTATTAACTTTATCGTCTAAATAATTCTTTTGCTTTATATCCACAAAGGTTGTCTGGTAGAAATAACTATAGGCAAAGTGATAAGATGGCTTTTGTCCCCATTATTATTTTTTATTTCCTTTTCCTTATTGATTGTGTACAATAAAGTTATTCTATTCTATTCTTACCACTACTTCATAAACGCGACAGCAGGTATACAAGGTGTTGTTTTAAAGCCGCGTCATTTTCTAGGAGGTAACTCGGATATCGATTCTGAGTCCGAATCAATAAAAAAAATTGTAGGTAAATATTTTTCATTTTTCTGAAATTACGGAAATCCGAAGTGCGAAATACACGCCGCCGTCTTCTACTACCTTATAACTAGCTTTATAACGCGGCTTAATACACACAAACTCAAACACGTAATTGATATTATTCCTAATTCCATAAAACTCTAATAAGAAACATTAGCAATGTTCGCTTATTCTGAAATACTGTCGAACTTAAACGATTTATTATAGTCGTATTTTTAACTATTAGCCCGAAATTTCTTCTTACATTGAACCTTTATGACTTCTGTGACATGCCCCTGAGAAATGACACGGTTTCAAAACTACACCTTGTATAACTGTTGCTGCGGACAACCGAACGTTTTATCGGGGCTCCGGCTCTAAGCAAGAGAACGGGGAGGTTTTCAGTCAGTAAGAGTCTAACACTCTTTCATCATCGTCTTTGGACGATTATACCTCATAAAAACCGGTACTTAGTGTTACGGCGTATGACATCGATGCTGTTAGAATATAATCATTTTTACAAAGAAATTAAGAAGTCAAGTTTTTTATATAACCTTAATTAATTTCCAAAAATGAAGGTAACTGTCCTGTGTTTTAATTAATCAATGAGTAGCTTCCGTACGAAAATGTCATTAATCATGAATGTTTACGTTGCCGCGTTGTACCAAATGTTCCTTGATCAGCTGTTTGCTCGGCGCCATCTTGTTCCCGCCATTACACGAACTTGACAGTGAATCGGCGTCGACCTTAAATTAGTTTCGAACCGCAGCTGTGAAAATATTGGTTGTGATCTCGATAGATTGGCTTTGCGCTGAGAAAATCACTTTAGAGTTAGCTCAGTGTTCATTTCTTTCTTTGTTATTTTTAGTACAAAATTAATGTGCATAGATAGAAATAAGCAATGCATTGAATATTGGCTAGCTTTTCCACAATTTATTGAAGGAATTGATTTGAATTACGTTTTATAATTATAGCTTTACTGAATAATGATAACATTACTGGATTTTACATATTTTAGATTTTAGATCCTTAGCTTAACACATTAAACGCCATGGGGGTCATCGGTGACCGGGGTTAGCGGAGGATTTGCCTTCAACAGTTTTTTATTGGCAGTCAAAGCCTTAACTGAAACGTCGTTAGTCGCAAGTATTTAGAATAGTTGTATTCAAGTAACAAAAGTTTCTTAATTCTTATGAAAATAAACGCCCTCACTGAATGACGCGGTTTATATTTTTATTTACGATATACTTTGAAAGTTATCAAAAGTTGTTCAATTTTAGACGTTCCTATAATCGAGTTACGTATTTTTAGTAAAAAGTTAGTTAGGGCTGTGTCAGACTCCTTTGTCTTCATACAAAATTACAATGCATACACAGGCAGGTGAAGATTGTAAATAGATATTTATTGATTTATATGCCACTGGCTCATTGTTCGAGTAGTCGCAAGTGCGACTGCCGGGCAAGGGGTCTCGGGTTCGATTCCCCGGTCGGGCACAGTATTACTGGGCTTTTCAAAAAAATCCCACGGATTCTGGAAATTTGCCCGGTATATGGCAATAGGCTCACCCCCTATTACATGGAACTCATAACATAAATAGTGAAAAGTGAGTGTTACATTGTACAGTGGACAAAAGGCGTGATGTTATGTTATGTGTTATGTTATATTATTCTCTGTAATCTAAGATTCGATATATCCGTCGAACAAAACTCTAAATTTAATTGGCTTCAGATCTTATTTATTTATTTATTTACACTTCTTGTAATTGTATACAATGGCAGACTTAATGCCTAGTAGCATTCTGTAACAGTCAACCTTAGGGTGATGCAGAGAGACACAATAAACAAATGTCATCAACTTACGTATATACACAATACATATAAATTCACGTCTGTCTCCCATGAATAGACAGTGACTATGGAACGCAGATTGCTACGATTCTTACTTACTTTCGCTTCATTAACAGTCATCAATCTTTTCATGCATGCCCATCGGTTAAGGGTACTTTTAATTTGCCTCTTCTTTAATATATCGTCAACCTGGTCGATATATGTCCGTCTAAGGCGCCCCCTACCGACGGTCCCATTCATATACGATTTAATTATAATTGCTTTATAAACGAAATTAACTAAACTTTTGTGACAGACAGACGAATTTTAGTTATAATTTTAGGACTAAAGGTATTTTTGTAAAGTAGTTCGTTGACTGTTCGTCGGTTTCTAGGAAAAGACTATTCGGAGAAGTACAAATTGGAGTGAATAGTTCTTATAATGCTTTTAGGCCATCCATATTGTTATTGTTTTGACAAAATAAATCAAATTAATGTGAACAGGTGCGGCTGGTAAAAACCTAGAACTCAAATTAATAATGCTTTTAAGTTTTATTTTTTTTGTTACTTTTTTCTTAGGAAATATTATTTACTTAACATTTACTTTCGAGATAGAAAGTATCGTTTACAAATGGAGCTAGAATATAACTACACACTGGTGACGAAACTAAATGTATACCCTGTGGATTCTAATTACGGTTTACACAATAAACAAAACATTATAGTGATACTGTAGTTAGTTAGTTGTTCGTTTTGATAAAAGTGAAAAAAATAATAGTTTGAATACCGTAGCTTCGTTAAAACTTAACTTCAGTTTCAGAAAATTTACAAAACAATAATAATATTTGAGACTTAAATCGAACCCTAAATACAATCCTAATTCAATATGAGCCTCGTTTACCCTTACCCCTTAAAAGAGTACGTTGCACCATTATCCCCTTTTCTCATCACATTAAAAAACTTTTACCATACATTAGCCTCGATTCCCAACTCCGCGGCCCTTATTGAAAATTTCAATATCCAAAAAACTCAATAATGTTTTTAGTCGACCCCCAGAAACCACTTATTAAACGGCCCTAATGTTAAGAAAAATAGGTTTATCTAGTAAAACAATATACGTGAGTCTACTTTTTGAAAAAACACAGATAATTGCTAGATGGTCCTGTACTAGTTGAATATTTTTTATGCGTTTTTGGGATAAGATGGTCGACAAAGCAATCATGTAGGTCATGTAGGTAGGGTTCCATTTTATCCTTTTTAGGTATAAAAATCTAAACAGGAGGTTATTACTTCAGATCCTAGATAAATTAAAGATTTAAATGAGAATTTAAAAGATTTTCTCTTCCTTATGGGATAAGCCAGTAAGTCGAGCAGACGTATAACCTGGTAAGCAATCGGCGTCGCCCAGGACGTCCGGAACACCAGAGGGGATTAGGAACTTGGAGGTTGTTGGGGATTCTAGGATCAAGGAGATTGTGGAAGGGGGAGAAATTGAGCCTAGGTAACCTGACCCACATAGTTTTCTATGAGGCGACGGTATCACTCTGGTCGAGCAGGCCCATTCGTGCCGAAGAATGGCTCTCCCATACAAATAGGTATCAAAATTATGTGCTATTTTAGAGTACTAATAAGGAACTAGCTTTTATAGTTCTTTGACCCCTAATTAGAGCTATCATCGCGCATATTCCCTGTAATTTGAATCTAGGTTACCTAGATAACATAGCCGGAATTTTGCTTTATGCCCAAAATCGTGACTGCCCGGGTTTATGACAATAGGGTTACTCCCAATTATTACACGAATGCAATTTGCGATTCAGTACTGAACAGTCATAATTAGTTTGTAAGTCCTAGTTAAGAATGATATACGACTATAATAGATTTTTTTATGGCATAAGGCGGTAAACGAGCAGCCGGATCACCTAATGGTAAGCAATCGGCGTCGCCCATGGACACCTGGAACACCAGAGGCGTTACAAGTGCGTTACCGGCCTTTTGGGATTAGGAGTTTGAAGATCGTTGGGTATTCAGAGATTGGGGATGGGGAGGGTAATTGGGCCTCCGGTAACTCACTCACAAGACGAAACACAACGCAAGCGTTGTTTCACGTCGGTTTTCTATGAGGTCGTGGCATCACTCCGGTCGAGCCGGCCCATTCGTGCCGAAGCATGGCTCTCTCACACTTAAAAACTTATTATCTTTATGATTGTTCTCTTTGTTTCCAGAATTAAAGCAGCAGAAATGTGACGAGGTGGTGTTGAAGAGAGCAAAGCATGTTATAGAAGAGATCAGCAGGACTGAAGAAGTAGCTAGAGTGATGAAGAACAAGGATTTTAAAAGGGTAAAATAGTTTATAAGAATCGTGGAGAAGAGATTAAGGATCTGTTTAAGGTGAATAGACGAAACAGACCTGTTAGTTATTCTTGTGTACGAATACACAGGCAGGATCTTGTGGTTAACTTGGGTAGTGGTGACACCAAATTAGAAGTATTTTGGTCATGTTTTAAGTCACGACAAAATCGTTAATATTTTACTAAATGATCAATCAAAATTTTACTAAGTTTTACTTTACTGCTAATCACTTAATTTAAAATGAAGATAAAAACAATAAGTAAAACATTAACGAAATAAAAATTGTGCAACATTTAATACTTTTTGACTGCACGGTTGGTGTGGTGGCTGGACAACCGGTTGCCGTGCAACGTGTCGCGGGTTCGATTCCCGCATGGAACAACACTTTGTGTGATCCAGAAATTGTTGTTTCGGGTCTGGGTGTCATTGTGTATGTGAACTTGTATGTTTGTAAACGCACCCACGACACAGGAGAAAATCCTAATGTGGGGCAACGTTTATAAAAAAAAGACTCTTTGTAAAGACAAAAATCCTAATGCTGTTGTCCAGGTTGGCGAATTATTCTACCAGTCCCATGATTCCCTAAGTAAGTTGATGGAGGTGTCCTGTCCAGAGTTGGACCAGATCGTGGACATAATCAGAGGGGCTCCAGGAGTGTACGGAGCTAGGATGACTGGAGGTGGCTTCGGAGGATGTGTTGTTACCTTGGTAAGTTGGAAAGTGAAAAGTAATGTTGTAACGTCTGTCTTTCATTTTGGTAGGCACATGTAGTATATGCTCTTGCATTCCTATTTTGACTTAGGAGGTTTCTAAGGTCCTATTCGTCTTAATTTTGTTTCAAAAGTGAGTTTTCGGCAAAATAAATTAGTCAACTTTGATTTAACTTATTTTTACATTTTTCATTGTTGTAAAAGACCTTCAGATTATACTGCCATTGTACATTAGCAGTACCGAAATATTATAAATAATTATGTTTGGTTTCCTAAAAGGGTAAGCAGAGGTGTATATAATTCAAACTTAATAATTGTATTCGAAAATGTTATGAGTCACATGTAGACTCAATGTATATTTTACTAAGTATACTTTCAAACATATTTTCGGAAAGAAAATAAAATTGGAAATAAATTTGAATACAGAATATAGTATTGATTCTTATTTTCATTTGTTTCAGGTTAAGAAGAGTGAAGTGGAGAATTTAAAGAAGAAAATCCTATCCGAATACAAAGGCACGCCCACTTTCTTTGTGTCACAGCCTAGTGATGGCGTGAGGTTATTGAAATTGTAAATAAATATTAATCTTGTTGTTGTTTTCGTTGATACTTTGTTATTTTATTACTTACCCATTATAAATCTATTCTGTTGTTGATGAGTAAGCGACACGTCATAATCAGAGTCAAAACAACCACTTCTAAAAATCACATAAATTATACATGCGAAAATCGAAGTCACGACATATGATGCAGTTTTTTGCCAGTCGTCAAGTTACTGGATTTCGACACTATTAAAGCCAATAGGGTAGATGCCTAATTTTTATTTTAAAGTCCGTCTGGTAGATTATTTTAAATCATTAGACACGTATTTTTATTGTCTTACACAAACGAATACTTTCGTCGATATATTGATTTGAAATGTCGTGTGACGTCTATGTACATCTTGTACGTAGAAATGTCGTAATTTTATAGCACGATATGACGTAACGACCTCTCACTCCTAAACTTAGCGCCATTTTATCTAAGTATTGCAACTTATAGGAGAAAATAAAAAAATACGTATCTAATATTTTTTCATTATCTAACTGACGGACTAATTACATTTTTAATTTTGATACCTTGGAAACTACCCAATTATAAACTTAGGTTTTCTCACGATGTTTTTCTTTACCGTTTGTGAGTGGTGTCTAAATAACATTAGAAAGTACATTTATTTTAACTCAGAAAGTCACTTTCGTACTTGCCGATGGTGGAAGCGGTCTTAAACCTCCGGGCTACCAGGACACTTTTTATACCTCTATAGACATCGATCAACTGTAATCTGCCTTCATACAATTGATTTTCATCTTAACTACACAACAAATAAAGTTTAAAACCCACTAAAGAGTCCGAGAGAATCAAGTCCAGTAGTTTGACGAGTTTTACCTACCTTTATCAATCCTCTTTGAGATTTTCAGGCGTGCTGACGTAACATCTCTTACAAGGCAGTTAGACATTCAATTCAAATGTCAAGTGTTCGTCAAGGCATGACATGTCCTGATTTTGACGTCAACTCACTGTCGGTTCCCGCCTACATAGCCACGGAGAATGGGACTTAGGATGACTACAAAATAATTGTTAGCACTAAATTAGGTACGGTGTAATGAATCTGTATATATTTAATAGCTGAAAATTAACTCGTCGAGTACCGGTTTTGTAGACACAATTATAGAACAATAGGTTGCGGTCACCGGTGACCGCTTGGTGTTTGACAGTTTAATATAAATATAAGCCATATAAAGTGTGTTTTTATAATAACTATCGTGAGACAAACTAAATTAACTAAAAATCCCGGGTTCTACTCCGTTCTGCGCGACATAGCACAAAGAGTAATTCCGTAGCCTACTGAGTAGGCTGCGCGACATCGCCGCGACTGCGTACGCTGCTCATGAGGAAGAACCCCTCTGTGGTTGGAAACTAGTAGAGCTTTTCTCAGTATATTCACGTGAGTAACCCGTGATTTTTAGTTAGTATGAAGTGTAATAGAATTTTGGTTGTCACGGTGCGGTGTCTGGGCAACCATCTGCACCACAACGTGTAACGGGTTCGCTTTCCGCAAGAATAACTCTTTGTGTTCCACAAATTGTTGGTCTGGGTGTCATGTGCATGTGAAATTGTATATTTGTAAATGCACCGAACACAGGAAAAATCATTTAAAAGAAATTTAAATGATTGTGTAACTGGCCTTAAAAAAAGAAATGATTACAACAAAAGTTCTGTGACAATCCAATGACAAGGTCAAAGTCAAAGTCAAAGTCAATGATTACATTTCACCGTACATCTGACAGAATTTTCCATTTCCGGTAACTTCATAAAAATATGCTGAGAACGGAAATTTCATTGTTTTACGCAATAATTTGTGATTATGTGGGTAGTAGGAAATTTCAGTTTTATCAGTTGACTTTGAAGTTTCTGACATGGTAACGGAAATCAGTTACTGAAAATAGAATAAATTTTAAAGATTGCTAACTTAGCGATCGTATGCTCGACTACTGAAAATGGCATATAGGGTTCGATTTCAAAAAAAAAAAATGTTGTTTGTAGTATCTCTGTAGGTATGTCTGTACATACAGCCCATTTTATATTTTTAACCGACTTCAGTTTGACCTGTTTGTACGTTTGTGTGTTTGTGTGCAATCTCGTACTTGGCTAAACCGATTTTGATGCGGTTTTCGGATAAGTGTGTATTAAACTTAGGATGTTTTGTCCATGGGCGGCGCTGATCGCTTACCATCAGGTGATCCCTCTGCTCGTTTGCCTCCTATACCATAAAAAAAACTTAGGAGAAAGTTTTAGTAGATATATATTAATAAATGGCCTTCAAAAAGAGGGGGTTGAAGTTTGTTTTATTAAACGTAGTTTATAATATAAAATAATTTATTATTTATAAAGTGTATTTTTATGGGTTAAGCCGGTAAACGAGCTGACGGATCATCTGATGGTAAGCAGTCGGCGTCGCCTATGAACACACACTTGTATTAGGTGTATCTCTATTTTAATGTAAAAATGTAGACAATTTTACTGGGTTTCTTTTAACGTAACCACACTATAATTTGCTTTTATATTGTGGATGCGTTTACAAACATACAAATTCAAATACACATGATGCCCAGACGCGAATAAACCATTTGTAAATCACACAAAGAGTTATTCCGTGCAGGAATCTGCTATACGTTGCGCGGTAGTCATTTGCCAAGCCACCGCACCAACTGTGCATTCAGTTGGGACTCTCTACGCGTTTGAGCAATGACAATCGTAAAAAAGAAAACTTGTTCAATAAATCCACTTCATACTACACATTAATTTTAGGTTTAAATTAATTTCTACTACAAAACGAACTAATAAAAACTTGAAGTTTAATAAGAAGTTTTATAAAAAACAAACTTTAGCAATCAACTTCGTTCGGAAGTAATTGGATTAGTAGATTTACTGAATTTACCGAATCTTGTTCGTGAAATGATTACCAATTAAATTACTGATTACTTTAGTTTTATGTTAGTTAGTTTGTCGGTGATTGTAATCTGCTCCATTTGTTGATAGCTCACGATAAAGGAGTTGTTGGTGCGTTAGGAGCTTATGGTTAGGAGCTCATTATTTAGCGAGGAGCTTATGGTTAAGGAAGACGGAGCCGCGGAAGGCCTAACGGATTGCCGGGGTTCCGGCACGAAGAGCAGGAGTAGGAACGGAAAGGTTTTTAGTCAGTAAGAGTCTGACACTCGTTCTCGCCTACCTAAGGCAGGAGAAGTCAATGGAAGATATTTCTCCTCAAAAAAATAATAGACGGGCCTCCGGTAAGCTCACCCACACGACGAAACACACTGCAAATTTTGTTTCACGCCGGTTTTCTGTGAGGCCGTGGTATTAGTCCGGTCGAGCCGGCCCATTCGTGCCGAAGCATGGCTCTCCCATACTTATAATGTACATAACCTAACAAATACAAAAAGTTTATTTCAAAGTTCGTCCATTTTTATCATAGTACGTTATTGACAAATAAGCGGGTGGCATTATTGCTAAATTAGTTATTTTTACCGGTCTAAGACAAAATATAGAAACTGGCAGTTAAGAATAGAGTCGTATTTTGTTACATGTGACTTACATCTCTTGTCTACAGTGGGAGTCGTAGACGTAAACACTACTGCCTACTCCTTTTACAGATACGGCGTAATAATAGAGTTAGTGGCTAATTATTTTTCTCATTCTCTTAAAACGTGGGCTAATCTACAGGTAATTTTAGTTGGTGCAGAAGTAATGTACGACTGCACGGTTGGTGCGGCTGGGTAACCAGCTTCCCCGCTTCGATTCCCGCACGGAACATCTATTTGTGTAATCCTCAAATTGTTGTTTCGGGTCTGGATGACATGTGTATGTGAACTTGTATGTTTGTAAACGCACCCATGATATAGGAGAAAATAAAATCCTAGCAAGTTATGAATTTAGTAAATTAACTCGTCGAGTACCGGTTTTGTAGACACAATTATAGAACAATAGGATGCGGTCACCGGTGACCGCTTGGTGTTTGACAGTTTAATAAAAATCTAATGATAATAATTGTTGTTTTTCGAAAATGAGGTCTGGTTATTAGAATTACAGATTTTTTGACAAAGGAAGTAGCAGTAGTAGTGACAAAGGAAGAAGTAGTAGTTCAGGAAAAATCATTTCAAAATGGAATGAATAAAAAATTCATTTCATTTAATCCCCGAGAGTGCGCACTTTCGATGAAACCCGAAGTACTGGTAATTAAACCGCTTAAGATCACTTTTTCAAGAATGCAATTCTAACGTTTCTAATCAAAAGAGGCTGCATTAGTACTTAGAAAATAATATATAGTATATTAACTCGATGAGTACCGTCATTATAGACACAATTAAAGAACAATTGCGGTCACCGGTGACCGCTCGATGTTTGACAGTTTAAAATAATGTTTGTAACAGTTTAAACCCGTTTGAAGTATTCGTCCAACAACTTTAGTTTGTGCAAATGAAGAAGGAGATCGATGGTAGCTATAACACAAGTTTGATCTTACCTTGGGTACCATAGTTTGATCTTTAGTACTCAATTTTTATATGATGATAACAATTAATGTTATATATAAGTGTGATCTGTACAAATTATGGCAAATAAACATTTATTATTATTATTAACGTAGTTATTTTTTTAAATTACAAGCAAAGTAAATCTACGTGACATTTTTTTTATCATTGCGCACACGATAGCGAAAAAATAGAATTGATCAATTCATCAATGTTAAAAAAAATAAACATTGAGTTAAATTTATATAAGTGGTTATAAGGTTGGCTGACGAGAAAAAAGTCTGAGATTCGAATCTAGAATCAGCAAAACTATTTTGAAATTACGGTAGCAGTATGACAATAATATTGTGCTGTATGACAATATAAGCATATTATGATTGACATAGCGTGGAACGGTATAACTGAAGCTTGCTTGCTTGCATATCATAATTATAGGTAATATAGAGGTATTATACCTATATGACATGCAAACTTTCATGTAAGCAGAGGTGCTTACCCATTTGGGGAATATTCTTGATATTACTTTGATCACGTTTCTCC